GCTCTGTATGAAAAGTCAGAATGGATGATACAAAGTCCACACAATAAAACTAATACCCTTCACTCAGAAGAAATCCATCAAGTCTTTACTTAGAAACAAATTTCAGGCAGGCATGTTTATCTGGTTATTCAACCTCTTCAAATCAGGCGCAGTAAAATAAAAGGGAGACAGTAACAAGGAACAAGAAGTAATAACCTGAGTAAAGAAAACAAATTTTAAAACTTCAAAGAACCGATATAAAACTTAAAAGCTACATTATGTAGTTTTGTGTAGCCTCTAAAGTTCGTTATAAGTATCTAGCACCAGCAACATGTCCAGAATAATGCCTAGTATTTGGGAAAAACATCCTAGACTGTAAAAAGAAGTTGAATAATGTTTTACAAGTTCTAATTTAGGAATATTTCTATCTAAATCAGTAACTTTTTTTTTGAGGTCTAAATGCCTCAAATAGTAAGCTTCAATATCTAGAAAATGCATTACAGAATCCACTGCCAGAAGATACTGGGTAAAGTTTTAACATATAAGAAAGAGTTTGTTATAATTAAGATAACTCCTCATAGACACGCTTCAAGAAATAATAGAATATCTGAGCAAATTCAATTCCTTACCATCAAGCTTCCAAATTTAGAAAAAAAATTTAATATATTTACTGACCCTAGCACAATGCTGAAAAAAAATCGCTCATTTTGCCTTTTTATTTTTTGGACATAATAAAGAACCATCCAAATTACTGCATTAAAAGCACGTAAACAGGGTTGACAGTAACATCGACTTAGGTGCCAAGTTTGGGGGCCTGCCAAACAAACTGCGGTATCTGTACCTGTCCTCTTAGTGACAGTTGAGTCATCACAACATGAATTGTTTGTTGGCAGAAGCCGGAGATCTGGATTAGCATATCCTAGTTTCTAGGCTTGAAACTGAAGCTGATCTCTCAGGCACAGGCAAAATCTTCCCTCAAAGAAAGACCAACTACCGTATCTACTTGAGTATAAGGTGACCCGAATATCAGCTGAGGCACCTAATTTTACCACTAAAAATGTGATAAAAAACTCGGTGTATACACGAGTATATAGGGTAACTACTGTACCAACTACAACAAACTCTTTAATCTTAATTGGCCACAAATTCAGAGCATCAAAATTTTAAATATCTACAAAAGTCCTTTGCTCTTAAATAGCCAATAGAAAAGTAGGGAGGAGGAATGTCCCATTCCTCTCAGTCCATGGTACCATGTTTCCAGAACTACATGAAGGGGGTCCCCGTGAGTCCCAGTCAACTCCACAGTAACAGGTACATGTATGGTATTGGAAAAGCAACTCTTTCTTTTCTTTTTAAGCAACTAATTCTTAAGTCACTGCACATTGATTAATTCCTGAAGTCCACACCCCAGACCTGGTTAAAAACCCACTACGTTTCTAATATGTAACCTATACAAATCCTCTGTGCTTATCATAAAATTTTGCAACTAAAGCACTGCAGCCACGTGCGTACTTTGTGTAATGACTCCAACTAATAAGAGCCTGTGAAGAACCACCGAAGAACTGTGAACAACAGTTACAAACCTAGGTTTCTGGAGAAAATAATTTTGCCAGGAATTTAGCATTTCATACAATGAAATACCACCTAATGCCACAATTTAAATATACCGTTAAAGTCCATGGATTACAGAAACATCAATATATGCTTAGTACTTCTTACTAATATAAATTCTGTTACACCTCCAAAGATAGCAATGAGTTTAATTAAGAAGTCTAATAAAAAAGTCTAATCATACTAATAAAGCCTATTAAAATTCACTACCATGCTTTCTTGAATTGATAGTCATCTACCCAGAAAAGAATCTCCAAAAAGAAATGCTTTAAATTGTTCATGATACTAAAAGGCCCATTTGTTTTCTCGTATCAAATTAACAGCTCCTTGCTAATGATACCTTCCGGAAGTACTGCTTCAGTGGCCCGAGAACTGTCACAGGAGTTCTCATCCTCGGGATTTTTTCTTTTTTGAAAAAGCAAGCTTAAAAGGGAAAAAAAGAAGCAGGTCACCCTGTACTGTTCTGGCAGAGGACTTAATAAAAAACTGTCGCTTCTTAATAATCATTTAAAATCATCTGCCTTCCTAAAGTAATTTTTTTCTAAATATATATATGCTTCTCAGAGTTATGAAAATTTTATGCTAACTCCAGAGTATTTGTACAGGTTACACAGAAACTTAGTGGACTTTTAACCAGGCCTGGCGTGTGGACTACTGGGGAACAGGAAGGAATTAAGCAATGTGCAGTGATTTAAGAATTAGTTGCCTTTCAAATACTTTGTACCATATACCTGCTCCTGTTGAGTTGACTGGGACTCATGGTGCCAACCAAGGAAGTTAAAAGTCTTTTTTTTTTTTTTTAACATTAGTCTTCTCACATAATTTGAGCTCATTCATCACCAGGTCCTTCTCCCAGCCAGTTTGCCAAGTCACAAGACTGGCTCCTGTTTACAATTCCTCCCATCTATCCCCTGCCAATATATATCAAACACTCAAGTCACTTGGCTTAAACCAAAGTCTCCCAAAGAGTCCTCTCAAATCCTAATTTAGAATCAAAATGCACTCATTCTGACTCATCTACTTAATGGAAAATTTTTAAATCACCTGACTTTCACAGGGCTAAGTGTTGCCTTTTGATGTGGTCAGACCCTAGAGAGTTCCGGCCCTCACATCAGCACCCCAAATCTGATAGCAAAATTTTAAATTCTCATTTTAGACATCTTTTCAAACGGAGTACCATGGTCTCTTGACTTTCAAAGCCAATTGCCAACTTTCAATTCATTCCAGGACTGGTCTACACTTCTTTCACCTCGCTGCTACATACACCCTGTTCAGGGCTGAGGCCTACTGACTTTTCACCCACTGGCTGCAGTCGGTAAAGAAATGAAACAAAATACATTTACCACCACTGGTTTTAAAGATAGCTTATTACACAGCGCCCAGTGTCCATAAAAGACTCCAGGGACCACCTTCAGCCAACCTGGCACTATAAAAGTCTATTGTTCAGGCCCTTGCAGGCGCCCCCGCCCCCAGAGGAATGTCCCCCAAATCAAACAGTCCTTCCAACCAGGCGATGGGGCCATGATTCACCAAAAACTGCACTGAGGAGTAATGGAATATTTTCACCAGTGGCACGCTAAAACTAAGAGCTTCTTTCGGAAGATGCTAAGCAACGATCCCTGTAGCAATTAATCCACCTGCTTCACAGGCCGAAAAGCAAGAGAGAGAGAAGAAAAGAGGAGCCGGGGTGCTCCCGCAGCTTCTCTAGAGGTTAAGAGAACAAAGTCACACTGCTGCACTGTCACTTGCGGGGAAAGGGGGAGGGGGCGGATCATCTGGGAAACCCGGCCCCGGGGCTGGAGCGGGCGGGGAGAACTCGGCTGGGCGGCCGGGATTAACATTCGCGGTCTCCCTTCTCCCCCCTTCTAGAAGCTCCCCTCCGGGCTACGGCTCGCCGACGGGGAGTCTCAGATGCCCGCCCCTTCCAAGCGACGCGCCCCCCCCCGAAAAGGACCGAGTCAGGAGAGTGAGACAGCGTGAACCCCGAGAGCCCCCTCCGACCTCCCCCCACACCCTCCAGCCTCCCCCAGAGCCCTGCCCAGCCC